CACACCTTCTATGACATGGTCAGCACACTCTCGAAACAAGTATGGCTCGTCCCAAAAGTACTTTTTAACATCGAACAAGAATCTTTTCTGTTGGTAAAAGGTCAACTCATTCGGCATCAGCCCACACACAATGTAATACCATGGCGTATGTTTGAGGGATATTGCAAACACCCGTTCATCTGGGAAAGAGTCATCTATGTCAACCTCATTCTCGACATTCTCCCTTGCTTCCAACCTTGATAAATGGTCAGCCTCTTGATTTTCGCACCCTTTTCGATCTTTCACCTCGTAATCAAATTCTTGTAATGGTAGTACCCACCTAATCAATTGTGGTTTTGCATCTTTATTTGCCATCAAATAGCGGAATGCAACATGATCAGTGTGTATGATTACTTTGTTGTCAAGCAAGTACACCCTGAATTTTTCGAATGCATAGACTACTGCAAGCAACTCTTGTTCGGTGACCGTATAATTTTACTGGGCCCTATTTATGGTCTTGCTTGCGTAGTAGATTGGGTGAAACAATTTGTTGCGCTTCTGCCCCAACACAACCCCTAGTGCCATCCGCTGGAATCACACATTAACTCAAAAGATTTTGACCAAATAGGGCTGATGATGATCGGGGTGGATATTAGTTTCTCTTTCAAACACTGAAATACAGCCATACAAGCATCATTAAAGTGGAATTTCACTTCCTTCTCTAGGAGTTTGCATAAAGGGAGTGCAATCTTTGAGAAGTCTTTAATGAACCTTATGTAAAATCCTGCGTGCCGTAAGAAGCTGCGAACACCCTTTACTAAAATCGGCGGGGGTAATTTTTCAATGACCTCAATCTTTGCCTTGTCAACCTCCAACCCCTTTTGTGACATAGTAAGTCCAAGAACAATACCTTCTTTTACCATAAAGTGACATTTCTCCCAATTCAGAACCAGATTCGTTTTGACACATCTTTGGAGTACCTGTCCTAAGTGAGCCAAGCATTCTTCGAACATAACCCCTACGACTGAGAAGTCGTCCATGAACACCTCCATAGAGTCTTCGACCATATCTGTAAAAATAGACAGCATGCAATGTTGAAATGGTGCTGGGGCATTACATAGCCCGAATGACATTCTTTTGAATGCAAAAGTTCCATAAGGGCAAGTAAAAGTGGTTTTCTTTTGATCTTCCGGCGCAAAAGCTTGTATCCTTGCTATACCCATGTCTATATTTAAAGAAGCAATAGTACAATCTCTAACTAGATATGAATCCAATCTATCCACATATCAATGAACCCTATCTTCCATAGTAGCAATTACATTGGGAGCATACCTGAACAAGGAATTAAATTGGAGACTGTACTCTCTCATGCTCATACCCCCTTGGTGAAGATTTAAGAACTGATCTGCGCGGGCCTCTCGAATCTCCAATGACAAATAATGATCAAGAAACACCTTGTTAAATTCTTTCCAAGTAGTTGGAGGTGCATCTGTACTCTTAGATTGCTTCCAAGTTTCATACCATAATATAGCCACACCCTTTAATCTGTATGTTGCTATCTCAACAACTTCTTTACCACTTACGTGCATAACATCCAAAGTTCATTCGATTTGATCAATAAAGTCTTGCGGATCTTCATTAGGATCTGACCCAGTGAATAATGGAGGGTCCAAATTAAGGAAATCACGTATCCGCGTGCTAGCTGCCCTATCTGCACCACCAATACCCGCAACTGGGCCTTCTTGCTTTTGACCTTTGCCAGCAACTATATGAGTCAATAATTGAACCACATTCCTCAAATCTTGCTCAGTAGCTAGCATTAATAGTGGGTTCATGAGGTGCAGCTTCCCTCCTTAGATCTTTTAGAGATGGAGGGGTCGGGGAAGTCTGTGATAGAGACTCATCTTGAGCCTCACTTTGAATATCTTGATTAGGTGGTAGTTGGCTGGCCCCTTCTTGGGTAGCCACATCTACTCGCTTACCTGCACCTTTACTCCTCGTAACCGGCATATTTGCTATAATAAAGCAATTCAGAAGTTAAATACGATTTTCCTACAACATTGGTTCTATCGCACGATCTAAGAAATGAAAGAAAAGAAACAATTCCTACATGTCTCGTAGCTTCCTATTTATAAATGTGGTGCACAATACATCCATAAGCAAGACTCTACACAGACACGACTTTGTAGACTCCCTAGGATGACCTGCTCTGATACCACTTTTGTCACACCCAAAAATCCCATTAAGGTGGATCGGCACCCTTTGCCGAGAAGGCTCGGGAGGACCAACCTGTAATCATGCTCTATCTATGAATATTTAAAGGTGCTGCCATAGTGGATAACATGTTTTCATGAAAGTAGACAGTATTAACAAGCCAAAAGAAAGTGCACATGACTTGGCCATTGGGGCGATGATGTCTAAGACACGAGACACAACCACACTTCACTATACATAGTCTACAAAGCCTCTGAATGATAAAACATTATGGGGTTATGGTCGGGACAGGAACCGCCTTACACTCAGCTACTATACAATACCAAAATACATGTTATAGACTCGGAAAGCCCCGAATCAACTTGGAGCTCACCAATAGCCGTTGGATGTCATGTTCTTCTATTGGGGAGATCTACTAGCTACTATACCTACAAGATGAAATGCAGGTCCCTCGAGAGAGAGACGTCAGTACGGGAGAATGTACTAAGTATGTAAGGCATAAAGTATTGTATGTGAAATAAGAACTCAAATGAAATCTTCTACCAATGTAAGGGTACAAGACCACCTTTTCTCATATTATGGAATCAGGTACTTTACATTCTTTTCTTTACTTTATCATTCTTTACTTTACACTGTGCACATAATATAATACGAATGACCAGCTGATCAGTGGTAGACATATAAATCGGGATCGACCCATGCTAGGCTTTCCTTTAACCCTTGGGATACCACCCGTAATATTGGGATTGACCCATGCTAGGTGATTCTTCCACCCCTGGGATACCACCCATCAATAAACAGATTCATTTAATATCTTTCCGTTAACATTTGAGATGATTCTTTTGGTGGTCATAGCATTTTGAGTTGTGGGACTATGTAGTCAACCAGTGACGTGTAATAATCATATAATGCAAGAACAACAACGTAGAGAGTAGTTACATAATTAGTGAAATGCATAGGAGCTGAAATAATAGATGGACCTTATTTAGTTAAAAGGAGAACTCATGCAGGGTATTCAATGTATATATACAAATTTGAAAATGAACATGTATTGGAACGTGCAGACATGTTAAAGAGTGAGAACAAGGTCGTAAGTCCTGTTGGAGTTGGTAGGCTGCCTCTATGTGTCGAGGACGAGTATATATTTCATGCCAATTAGTAGGAAATCGAAAAGCCTTACATACCTTGCTGTACCACCTTGTAGTTACCTTGAAGTACCTTCCTTTCTTTTCAAATACTTATCAACAATAGAGTAGGTGATAAACTAGTATTAGTAGTTACTACTAAACATGCTTAGGCAGTCCAATCTCACTCAACAATAATGCTCGGGCAGCAAACCTGTAATTACCAAACTAAGGGTGTTCTTTCAACCCCGCCTTCTTTTATTGCATTTGTACACTACACAACTATATTTCAATATCAACAATTTACACCTTTCCCAAGCATCAATCAAGTTGTCCCCAATATGTTTACACATCAACCTGTCCCAAAACACTCATAACAATCCAACATACAATAGAGGACGTGAAACCATGGTTTCCCATCATCATCCCACGAGTTCTTATCAACAGTATACTTAAAATATAATACTTGGACTCGTGTATAAGGAAGACAAAGATAGGGCAGTCACTTTATCTTAATTCTTATAACTCTTTTTCTTTTAACTTTAACTCTTCAATAACTTGAGCTTCCCTTCACATAGGCCAAAGAAAAAAGAGAAAAGCCTCTTAATAACAAAGGAAAGTGGCAATTAAACTTTTGACAGATTCAGTCCTCTACTTGTTCTTAACTAAAAGCATGTTTATCTAGCATTCCATGAGAGAACTAGGCTAAATCCATTAGTAATTTCACTTATCCTACCTTACAAGGGCTTGGGTTTATCCAAGAACCCTAGGAACTTGTTGTTGTTGCTATGCTTTGAAAGAGAGAGGAGAAGCTTAGAAAGAAATCTGATTTTTTTTATCTATTCTTAAAAGTGAGGAAATGGCCAGCAACTTGGGGATTATAAAGGTCTTATTTTTCCCCACCTCTTAAGTTTTAATATCAGCCACTAATTTATCAAATTGGTCCAAGTAGGTGATGCATCTGCTTGAAATTATATATACACAAAATGGGCCCTTTATGTACTCATCTTGGCTGCAATCTTTCCCCTTTCTAATATTAAGCCATGGGCCAGAATTATACCCTTAATTTGGGCCTTAGTCTTTATTGGGCTCAAGTAGTTGGACTTGGACAGATTGGTGTGAGGCTCATCTCCATTCCCTTTTCCTTTTTATTTAATTTGGGCCTCAAGTGAGCCCACTAATGCATGAACTAATCTTCCCCATCTGCCTAGCCTATTTGAGCTAAGCAAGGAGGTGACACCTGCTAGATTTATAAAGTCCAACAAGCACCTCAATTCTTTTATTCACTTTCCGAGCGCAATCTCCTTAGTTTAACTCAAAACTTATATACACTTGATCACCTTAACTTTTAGACTTACGTATAGCCGTTCGATCCAGAATTTAAATACTTCTAAAATTTGACGTTCACTTGATCATGCAATATTGCAATGTACGGGAGTTACCCTTATAGCTTCTTTATTGTCACCATTCATCTAGGAAATCAAGTTCATTACCTATACCACCAAGCAAACTCAAGTTCCATATGTGTAGGACTTGTACACATAAAATTCGGGGTGTTACATAATCCCCCCCTTAGGAACATTCGTCCTCGAATGCTACCATAATCACATAGCTTAAATAAGTTCAAACTTTAATTTAAATCAACTGTTAACCACATAATAAATACCCTTTCATGCGTACCTATTAATACCCCCATTCAGCACCTTGGACTTCCTCTTTAGGTTCAAATAAATAAGGGTACTTGGATTTCATCGCTTCCTTACCTTCCCACATTACTTCTTCTACTTGTTGGTTCCTCCAAAGCACCTTTACTGAAGCCATTTCTTTATTCCTTAGCTTTTTAACCTGACGATCCAGAATAGCAATAGGTACTTCTTCATAGGTGAGATCCCCTGTAACTTGTACATCTTCAATAAGAGTGATATAGGATAGGTCACTTACGCACTTCCGAAGCATTGAGACATGAAACACCAGATGAACTGCTGAAAGCTCCTGAGGTAGCTCTAACTGATAAGCAACTTGGCCAATTCTTCGAATAATCTTATATGGCCCTATGTAGCGTGGACTCAACTTTCCTTTTTTACCAAATCTCATTACCCCTTTCATTGGCGATACTTTTAAGAACACCCAATCTCTTATAGAAAACTCTAATCCTCTTCTTCTAACTTCTGCATATGATTTGTGTCGGCTTAGAGCTGTTGCTAGCCGTTGTTGTATCACCTTATCTTTTTCCATAGCTTGAAGAACAAGGTCTGGTTGAAATAAAGCAGTTTCGCCTACTTCAAACCAGCCAATTGGTGATCTGTACTTCCTTCCATATAAAGCTTCATAAGGTGCCATTTTGAAACTAGAATGATAACTATTATTGTAGGCAAACTCAATAAGTGGCAAATGATCATCCCAGCTACCTTTGAAGTCTAAGACACAAGCACGAAGCATATCCTCAAGTGTTTGGATTGTGCGTTCTGCTTGACCATCCGTTTGAGGGTGGAAGGTTGTACTTAAATTCACTTGTGTTCCCAAACTCTTTTGGAATGATTTCCAAAACTTTGCAGTGAATTGAGCTCCTCGATAAGATATAATAGAGATTGGAACTCCGTGTAGCCGAACTATCTCTTTAATATATAACTTTGCATACTCTTCCGCTGTATAATCAGTCTTAACTGGCAAGAAATGTGCTGACTTGGTGTCTATCAACTATTGCCCATATGGAGTCAAACCTACGAAACTAGCGAGGCAAACCAGTGACAAAATCCATGTTGATCATGTCCCACTTCCAAATTGGAAGCTCCATACACTGCATATAACCTCCCCGCTTTTGGTGCTCTACTTTGACTCACTAGGAGTTTGGACATTGAGCCACAAATTCTGCATTGTCATTCTTCATGTCCCCCCACCAATACACTCCTTTCAAGTCATGGTACATTTTAGTTTAGGGTTTATGGTTTAGAATTTAGGATTCTAAAATGTAAATCTAAACTCTAAACCAACCCTAAACCTTAAACCATAAACCGTAAACCCTAAACCCTAATCATAAACCATAAACCTTAAACCCTAAACCCTATACCCTAAACCCTAAACCCTAAAACCTAAACCCTAAACCCTTATCCATAAACCCTAAGCCATAAACTCTAAACCCTAAACCTGAACCCCTAATCCCTAAACCCTAAACCCTAAACCCTAAACCCAAAACCCAAAACCCAAAACCCTAAACCCTAAACCCTAAAACCCAAAGCCTTTACCCTTATCCATAAACCCAAAACCCTAAACCTTAAACCCTAACCCTAACCCTAAACCTAAACGTTAAACCCTAAATCCAAACTCTAAACCCTAAACCCTAAACAATAAATCCTAAACTCAAAATCCTCAACCTTAAACCCTAAACCCTAAACCTTAAACCATAAACTCTAATCCTAAATCTAAACCATAAACCTTAAATCCAAACACTAAACCCTAAACCCTAAACCCTAAATCCTAAACTCTAAATCCTAAACCCTAAACCCTAAAACCTAAATCCTAAACCCTTACTCGAAACCCTAAACCCTAAACCCTAAACTCTAGACCATACACCCTGAACGCTAAACACAAGATCCTAAATACTAAGCCCTAAATTGTAACCCAAAACCATAAACCATAAGCTCTATACCCTAAACCCTAAACCCTAAACCCAAAACCCTAAACATTAAACCCTAAACCTTTAACCGTAAACCCTAAACACAAAACTCTTAACCCTAAATAGTATACCCTAAACCCTAAACCATAAACTCTAAACCATAAACTCAAAAGCCAAAAGCCTGATGTCACGCCTTAAATGCCATTAAGACGGACAAACACTCGATGCCCTAACAGCCCAAGAGAACCAACATGTGACCTGTGTTTACTATGCATGTAACTATGAAAGTTTTGTGACAAGTTCGCCAGGGACACAATGATCTGAACCGACATAAGTAGACCCAAAACTTATATACAAGACTTGGCCATTGGGGCCACAACTGGTTAAGATGCAACTGAACCATATACATAAGTCTACAAAGCCTCTAAAAGATAGAAACCCTTAGAGTAGGTCGGGACAGACCCCGCCTTACCCCTAGCTACGATACAATACCAAAATGAGTCTACCAAGGGCTCAATAAAGCTCCGAAGCAACCTGGAGCTCACCAAAAGTAGCTGAGTGTCGTATGCTCCTACTGAGGAGGTCTACTAGCGAGAGTACCTGTGCCTACAACATGAAATGCAGCGTCCCCCGCGAGGGACGTCAGTACGAAAAGTGTACTGAATATGTAAGGCAACTACATATATAAAAATAAGAGTTCAAACGAAACCAGGTATCAACGTATAAGTGCATAAATCAGAATAGGAGGCTGCCTCTGTTAACTCTGGTGGGGTCATGTATGTTACATTCTTGTCTTTACCTTTATGTGTGTTATGATCTTTATAACGCATGTGATATAAGTGACCAGCTGATCAGTGGTAGAAGAGGATGACATGCTAGGCATTTTAACCCCTAGGATGCGATCCTCAACATTGCACAAATCGGGATCGGCCCATGCTAGGCTTTCGCCCCTGAGCTGCCACCCTTCTATACCCATTGGGATCGGCCCATGCTAGGCTTTCGCCCCTGAGCTGCCACCCATAGTTATACAAATTGCTTCACTTAGATTCTTTAATCTTTGAGATTGTTGTTTTGGTGGTCACAATCATTTTTGAGATTTGGAAATACGAGACAGTAGTAGGAGACATGAAAATAATACTTTAGGACAGTAGCTACAATATAAAAAGCTATGTAACATTAATGCATTACTTGAGAGCTTGAATGACACAATTGACTTCAATTGACTATAGAGTACTGAACGTGTAACTAAGTAATTATGTACACTTAGGAGGGGGAATATTGTTAGCTATTTGGATATCGTACGTTGCCACTATGTTTCCTTTACTAGGAATAGAACTTAGGAAATTCACTTATTGACATTAATCGCAAGTATCAGATTTCATGCCAAGGAATATGGAATCGAATCGCCCTACATACCTTATTTTCTGACCAATACCACTGTCACAATTCAACCTCCCTTCTTGGATGCTAATCTACAATATAAGTCACAATTAAGCTAATGTCAGCAGCTAATCAAGGCCCTAAAAACAGTAGCTAACACTTGACGGAAAGTAAGCCCATACAACCCTTGCACCAATGGTGAACCACCACACCCTTCTTCTATACATTAATACAACTTCATACATCCTTTTCCAAGATACCCAAACAACCTTCTACTCAACTTGGGCCAAATTAATGCAAGTAAGTGGTAGTGCATTTGGCCCAATTACCACTTTACTACCTCTAGTTTAAATACTTCCGTCGGAGCTGACTTGCAGTACACATGCTGAAACGTGCAAGGTGTTATATCACCTTGCGAGCTAGCTAGTTTAAACCAACACTAATCATATAAGAAGCACCATCCCTCACCTATACTATAAGGCTATGTCAAGTATCACGTGAATAGAACTAGCATACACATAATACAGGTTGTTACATTCTTTCCCCCTTAAAAACATTTGTCCTCGAATGTTAGCATGGTTATCCAGCCCAAACAAGTTCAAGCCTAAGTTAGTGCTACTAATAATTACATAATACAAATAGACTTATACTTACTTGTCAGCGTCTAGACTAAGCATTTTCATCCTTCTCATGGATCTGAAAGAGATGACGATACTTCAATTTCATTGCATCTTCCGCTTCCCATGTAACTTCTTCTACTTCCCATGTAACTTCTTCTACTTATTGGTTCCTTTATAATACTTTTACAGAAGCTACTTCTTTATTTCTTAACTTCCTAACTTGTCGATCCAGAATAGCAATGGGTACTTCTTCATAAGTGAGATCTCCCGTAACTTGTACATCTTCAGTAGGAGTAATATGAGATGGGTCACCTATGCATTTCCGAAGCATCGAGACATGAAGCACTGAATGAACTGATGAAAGCTCTTGTGGTAGCTTTAACTCATAGGCTACTTGGCCAACTCTTCGAATAATCTTATATGGCCCTATATAGCGTGGACTCAATTTTCCTTTTTTACCAAACCTCATTACCCCTTTCATTGGTGACACCTTCAAGAACACCCAATCCCCTATAGAAAGTTCTAGTCCTCTCCTTCTAACATCCGCATATGATTTAAGTCGACTTTGAGCTGTTTCTAGCCGCTGCCGTATCACTTTGACTTTTTCCATAGCTTGATGAACAAGATCTGGCCCAAATAAGGTGGTTTCACCTTTTTTGAACCAGCCAATTGGGGATCTACATTTTCTTCCATATAAAGCTTCATAAGGTACCATTTTAATACTTGAATGGTAGCTATTGTTGTATGCAAACTCGATCAATGGCAAATGATCATCCCAACTACCTTTGAAGTCCAATATACAAGCTCGCAGCATATCCTCGAGTGTTTGAATTGTATGCTCTGCCTGACCATCTGTTTGAGGGTGAAAGGCTGTACTTAAATTCACTTGTGTTCCTAAACTCTTCTGAAATGACTTCCAAAAATTTGCAGTGAATTGAGCTCCTCTATCAGATATAATAGAGATTGACACTCCATGTAGACGAACTATCTCTTTAATATACAACCTCGCATATTCCTCAACTGTATAAGTAGTCTTGACCGGCAAGAAGTGCGCTGATTTGGTCAGTCTATCAACAATTACCCATATAGAATCAAACTTCCGAAATGAACGAGGCAAACCAGTGACAAAATCCATATTGATCATATCCCACTTCCAAATTGGAAGTTCTATACACTGCATATAACCTCTGGGCTTTTGGTGCTCTACTTTCACTTGTTGACAATTTGGACATTGAGCCACGAATTCCGCAATGTTCTTCTTCATGTCCCCCCACCAATACATTTCTTTTAAGTCATGATACATTTTAGTTGACCCCGGATGGACAGAATATCTCGAATGATGCACTTCAATCATAATCCTCTTTCTTAATTCATCTACATTAGGTACACACAATCTGTTTTGACATCGAAGTACTCCCTCTTGCGTAAGCTCAAATGCCTTTGTCATACCCTGTTGTACATTCTCCTTAAGCTTTAATAGAATAGGATCCGTGTACTTCTTCTCTTTCACTTCTACTACTAATGAGGATTCTGCCGCATTTTGCACAATAACCCCTTTGTCAGGAGATTCAAGAAGCCAAACCCCCAAGCTAGCTAGTTGACATAGATCCTTAGTTATTCCTTGTCTTTCCAAAGACCGCCCATAAATGCTTGCAATTAATTTACGACTTAACGCATCAGCTACTATATTTGCTTTCCCGGGATGATACAAGATATCAATGTCATAATCTTTTAATAGCTCCAGCCATCTTCGCTGCCTCATATTTAGGTCCTTTTGCTTAAAGATATATTGCAAACTCTTGTGATTAGTGTATATGTCAACATGAACTCCATACAAGTAGTGGCGCCATATCTTCAAAGCAATTACAACTGCTGCTAGTTCTAGATCACGAGTTGGATAATTTTTCTCATGTGGCCGCAACTGCCTTGAGCCGTAAGCTATTACCTTACCATGCTGCATCAAAACACATCCTAGGCCCACCGCAGAAGCATCACAATAGACTGCATACCCTTCTGTTCCTTCTGGAAGTACCAATACCGGTGTAGAAGTTAATTTATTCCTCAGATCTTGGAAGCTTCTTTCACATTCATCACTCCACTGAAACTTAGTTTCTTTGTGTGTTAGCTTTGTTAAGGGTGCAGCAATGGAAGAGAATCCTTCAACGAACCTTCTGTAATAACCTGCCAATCCAAGGAAACTACGGATCTCCGTAGGCGTTGTAGGTCTTGGCCAGTTTTTCACCGCTTCTATCTTCTGATTATCAACCCTTATTCCTTCATCGGATACAACATGACCTAGGAATGCCACTGATTTTAACCAGAACTCACATTTAGAGAACTTTACATACAACTTACGGTCACGAAGAATTTGTAACACCTGTCACAGGTGATTATCATGGTCCTCTTTCGATCTTGAATACACCAAAATGTCATCTATGAATACTATCACGAACACATCTAAAAATGGCTTGAACACCCTATTCATCAAATCCATAAAAACGGCTGGTGCATTCGTTAGCCCGAATGACATGACTACAAACTCAAAATGACCATATCGTGTTCGGAAAGCTGTCTTGGGTATATCTTCGTCTTTGACCCTCACTTGGTGATAACCCGACCTCAAGTCAATTTTTGAAAAACACCTAACACCTTGTAACTGATCAAACAAATCATCAATTCTAGGGAGGGGATATTTGTTCTTAATCGTTACCTTATTCAACTGTCGGTAATCAATACACATTCTTAACGAGCCATTTTTCTTGCGTACAAATAAAACTGGTACTCCCCATGGGGACATACTAGGCCTTATGAATCCTTTTTCTAATAAGTCTTTTAATTGCTCCTTCAACTCCCGTAATTCTGCCGGGGCCATTCTATATGGAGGGATGGATATAGGTTGAGTATCTGGAATCACATCAATACCAAACTCTATTTCTCGTTCTGGAGGCAAACCCGGAAGATCTTCAGGAAATACATCGGGAAATTCATTTACTACTGGAATGGATTGAAGAGTTGGTGGCTCCGCATCTATATTTCTCACTCTCACTAGATGACATATGTATCCTTTGGACATCATCTTCTTTGCCTTAAAATAGGAAATAAATTTACCTCTTGATGTCCCAATATTACCTTTCCATTCAAGAACGGCCTCTTTTGGAAAATGGAAATGTAGCGTCTTCGTTCGGCAATCTACCGTGGCATAACAAGAAGCTAACCAATCCATACCCATTATAACATCAAAATCCACCATTTCTAGCTCAACAAGGTCAGCCAACGTATCACGATCACAAACAGTTACAATGCAATTACAATAAACCCTTCTAGCTATAATAGAGTCACCAATCGGTGTAGACACCTCAAATGTCTTCACTAATAATTCTGGTGTTCTTTTGAACTTTTCAGCAATCAATGGAGTAACATATGATAGTGTAGACCCCGGATCAATTAATACATATACAATATGTGCAAAGATGGACAATGTACCTGTAACCACATCCGGTGAGGCTTCCAAATTTTGTCGATCCCCAAGAGCATATGTGCGATTCTGAACTCCACTAGAACTAGCTGCTCCCTTAGCTCCTCTACCACGACCAGTAGGCATCTGTCCTCTACCTAAAAAAGGTGCTGATGACGAGGATGCACAACTGACCTAGTAGGTTGTGCCACACCACCCACACCTCTATGAGGGCAATTTCTCATCATATGACCTGGTGTACCACACCAAAAACAAGCATTTGTCCCAAACCGACATGCACCTAAATGATTCCTTCCATATTGTTTACAAAACTCTCGAGGAGGTCTTGATTGGCTCATACTTCCCTGCTCTTGGTATCCCGCTATTCGTGAACCTTGACTTTCACCTCTTTGCCCAAATTGATTGCCCCTAGACCCTTGAAATTGAGGTGGGGTACTAGCTGTAAAGTAGGAAGATGATGGCCTAGGCGGTCTGTTAAAGAACCGAGGCCTAAACTCACCTTGGGATGGTGTAAACTAACCCATAGATCTATCCCTCTTAGAATGCCCTATTTCTGACTCTTGTGTCCTTTTTCTTTGCCTTTGATCCTCTAACTTTTGCGCAAAACCTTGCATCCTTGCTATAGCCATATATTTATTCAATGAAGCAATGGTACAGTCTCTAACCAGATATGACTCTAATCTATCCACATATCGATGAACTCTATCCCCCATAGTAGCAACTACATTAGGAGCATACCTAGCCATGGAATTAAATTTGAGACTGTACTCTCTCACGCTCATACTTCCTTGGTGGAGATTTAAGAACTGATCCGCACGGGCCTCTCGGATCTCCAATGGCAGGTAATGGTCAAGGAATGCCTTTTTGAACTCTTTCCATATAGCTGAAGGTGCATCTGTTCCCCTGGATTGCTTCTTGCTTCATACCACAATATTGCCACACCTTTTAATCTATATGCTACTAGCTCGAGCGCTTCTTTACCACTTACATGCATAACATCGAAAGTGCGTTGGATCTGATCTATAAAGTCTTGTGGATCTTCATTAGGATCTGTCCCAGTGAATGATGGAGGGTCCAAATTAAGGAAATCACGTATCCGCGTGCCAGCCGCTCTATCTACACTACTAATACCCGCAATTGGACCTTCTTTCCTTTGGTCGTGGCCAACAACTATACGAGTCAACAATTGGACTGCATTCCTCAAATCTTGCTCGGTAGCATTAATAGGGGGTTCTTGAGGTGCAGCTTCCCTCCTTAGTTCTTCTGGCGATGGAGGGGTTGGGGAAGTCTGTGATAGAGATTCATCTTGAGCCTCACCTTGAACAGCTTGACTAGGTGGTGGTTGGCTGGTCCCTTCTTGGGCAGCCACATCCACTCGCTTACCTATACTTTTACTCCTTCTCGTAGCTGGCATCTTCGCTATAATAAAACAATTCAGAAGTTAGGTATTATTCACCACAACATTGGTTCTATCGCACGATCTAAGAAATGAAAGAAAAGAGACAACTCCTACATGTCTCGTAGCCTCCTGTTTATAAATATGGTGCACAACACATCCATAAGCAAGACTCTACATAGACACGGCTTTGTAGACTCCCTAGGATGACCTGCTCTGATACCACTTTGTCACGCCTCAAATCCCATTAAAACGGACAGGAACTCGATGCCCTAACGGCCCAAGAGAACCAACATGTGACCTGTGTTTACTATGCATGTAACTATGAAAGTTTTGTGACAAGTTCGCCAGGGACACAATGATCTGAACCGACATAAGTAGACCCAAAACTTATATACAAGACTTGGCCATTGAGGCCACAACTGGCTAAGATGCAATTGAACCATATACATAAGTCTACAAAGCCTCTAAAAGATAGAAACCCTTAGAGTAGGTCGGGACAGACCCCGCCTTACACCTAGCTACGATACAATACCAAAATGAGTCTACCAAGGGCTCAATAAAGCTCCGAAGCAACCTGGAGCTCACCAAAAGTAGCTGAGTGTCGTATGCTCCTACTGAAGAGGTCTACTAGCGAGAGTACATGTGCCTGCAGCATGAAATGTAGCGTCCCCCGCGAGGGACGTCAGTACGAAAAGTGTACTGAATATGTAAGGCAACTACATATATAAAAATAAGAGTTCAAACGAAACCAGGTATCAACATATAAGTGCATAAATCAGAATAGGAGGCTGCCTCTGTTAACTCTGGTGGGGTCATGTATGTTACATTCTTGTCTTTACCTTTATGTGTGTTATGATCTTTATAACGCATGTGATATAAGTGACCAGCTGATCAGTGGTAGAAGAGGATGACCCATGCTAGGCATTTTAACCCCTAGGATACGATCCTCAACATTGCACAAATCGGGATCGGCCCATGCTAGGCTTTCGCCCCTGAGCTGCCACCCTTCTATACCCATTGGGATCGGCCCATGCTAGGCTTTCGCCCCTGAGCTGCCACCCATAGTTATACAAATTGCTTCACTTAGATTCTTTAATCTTTGAGATTGTTGTTTTGGTGGTCACAATCATTTTTGAGATTTGGAAATACGAGACAGTAGTAGGAGACATGAAAATAATACTTTAGGACAGTAGCTACAATATAAAGAGCTATGTAACATTAATGCATTACTTGAGAGCTTGAATGACACAATTGACTTCAATTGACTATAGAGTACTGAACGTGTAACTAAGTAATTATGTACACTTAGGAGGGGGGAATATTGTTAGCTATTTGGATATCGTACGTTGCCACTATGTTTCCTTTACTAGGAATAGAACTTAGGAAATTCACTTATTGACATTAATCGCAAGTATCAGATTTCATGCCAAGGAATATGGAATTGAATCGCCCTACATACCTTATTTTCTGACCAATACCACTGTCACAATTCAACCTCCCTTCTTGGATGCTAATCTACAATATAAGTCACAATTAAGCTAATGTCAGCAGCTAATCAAGGCCCTAAAAACAGTAGCTAACACTTGACGGAAAGTAAGCCCATACAACCCTTGCACCAATGGTGAACCACCACACCCTTCTTCTATACATTAATACAACTTCATACATCATTTTCCAAGATACCCAAACAACCCCCAACAACAATATGCATAAGGCAGCCACTATCAATCCCTAAAAATCTTTCAGCATAATAGGAGAATATTAACTCAAAGATTTATCAACATCCATTAGTTCTTGATAAATATATACAAAATTCTCCACCCCAAATCTGTATTTAAAGAGAGGAAAAAAATGGGCAGTAGTCTTACCTTAGTTTCTAGGAATTTATCCTCTAAAGTTGTACTCCAAGAACTGAAACTCTCCTTCAAACTTTTACTTGAAAATGGAGCAATACTCAAGGAACCAAGGTTTTCTAGGCCTTCTGATTGAAGCCAAGAGAGACCAAGAGAGAGAAACTTAAGAAACCTGAAAATTTTGCAAGTTAAAAATGAAGCAAAAGATCTGCTCTTTATCCCTTTAAAAAGGAGGTGTAATGGCCAAATTTCTTGACTAATTTTGGCCATATATTGTCAAGTAGGTGACCCACCTACTTGGCCTTTTAACTTGGGCTTTTGGGAACTTCAACACTTGTTGGGCCCTACTCCTAATTATCCCTCTATTCATGTGGTAGTGCATTTGGCCCAATTACCACTTTACTACCTCTAGTTTAAATACTTCCGTCGGAGCTAACTTGCAGTACACATGCTGAAACGTGCAAGGTGTTACATCACCTTGCGAGCTAGCTAGTTTAAACCAACACTAATCATATAAGAAGCACCATCCCTCACCTATACTATAAGGCTATGTCAAGTATCACGTGAATAGAACTAGCGTACGCATAATATAGGTTGTTACACCTAAAGCCTAAACCCTTAACCATAACCCTAAAACCCTAAAACCCTAAACCCTAAACCATAAACCAAAGGCCTAAACCTAAACCCTAAACCATAAACCATAAACCCTAAACCCTAAACCCTAAACCCTAAACTTTTAACCCTAGAGCCTAAACCCTAAGCCCTAAACCTAAACACTAAACCCTAAACTCTAAATGCTAGACCTTAGACCCTAGACCCTAAACCCTAAATCCTAAAACATAAACCCTAATCCTAAACCTTAAACCCTAAACCCTAAACCTACAACCCAAAACTCTAAACCCAAACCCCTAAACCCTAAAACATAAACCTCAAACCCTAAACCCTTAACCATCAACCCTAAACTCCAAACCCTAAACCCTAAACCCTAAATCTTAATCCATAAACTCAGAACACTAACCATAACCCTAAACTCTAAGCCCTATGATGTAATTCGTATAAGAAGAATCACAATAATCAATGAAAAACAAGAAAGATAGAAGAAGAGACACAAGATAAGAAACCATATGAAATTAAAGGATGTATGAAATCCAATAACCTCCAATCTAGATCATAACAAGCACCTAATCCAGATAAATAGATTGAAACAAGAAAAGGAAATCAAAAGCAACCTAAAGGTAATTAAACAAACCTACAGACCTCAATCGATTAATCTACAATCAAGCACCGAATGTCTTACGAAGACCTCAAGGGAATCAATATCCCAAGCAACCTTCGTTTCTAAGTAATGATCAACTAAAGCTTGAAACCAAGCTCTCAACACTCACATAAGGAGTTCAGGTTTTTAACCATTTTTAACAAAACAAATCTGCCCAAAATGAACCCCTAAAGACTTATTTATAGTTTCAGCCATTATTACATAGATGGGCCTAAAAGTGACCCGAAATGGGCCAGTGGGCGAGCTAAGTCGGGCTCGCCCAATCCACTTGGCGAATCTCTGATCAGTCAGTGATGTACACTGCTCCATTGGTTTCTCCCTTCATGGCTACTGTAAATTTCAGTGATCTGGGGGTCAATGGGTGATGCGCCGAATGTCCTCCATGCTCGCCGAACGGGCAACCTCCTCTTCCAGCTCATTGGATCAGTTGGGGATCCTGGAATCCTCGCCAAAGGACTTTGGCAAGTCACCGAAGTGTCCTTCAGCTCGTGAATGAAGCACATTCTTCACTTGCTCCTCCTCGCTTCGTTAGGCCTCCCACGCTCCAAGCTATCATCCAAACATGGTGTTGCCCAACTGGGAGCTCCTTCAAGGTGTATATGTTCCCATGCAAGGCATGGAACTACCTCCTTGGCATCCATACATGCCAAATAGCCTCCATCCTTGTGAACACTCCATCAAAGCATTGAAGTTTGTGAATGGATAGGCCTGATGTAATCCATTTTACATCATTCTCCCCTTCTTGAAAAGGATTCATCCTCGAATCCATATCTTGCAAAACCCTAGCGGGAGCAAACAAGAACAAGATCTTCATGGCATGAGGGTTAGAGTTAGCAATAACAATTTTATCACCATGCCAAGGATGCACAAACTTAACATATAACCAAGCATCGCAAATATCAACCAAGGGTATGTAACCCATCAAAGTACTAAATACTTGGCTAAGTAAGAAACATTGACAAAGGAGTAGGGTGAAGGAACCAATATACTTAAACAGCATATGTACGCCCTCATTGGTTCCACATTCAAACAAGCATAGGACGTCCTATATGTCAAGTAGCACATAAACATTCTCAAAACTAAGTGCAAGGGCATAAACAAAGTTAACCCAAATTGAGACTCCATCCAATGCACTAGCTAACTTCAAGAATGTAATTATTCCCAATTCTTTAGTGGGGTCAAATACAAAAGTATCCCCCACACAACTTGGCAAACAAA